GCCGGCGGAGATGGTGGTTTCATTGGAGGAAGTCATGGTTGAGGTGCAATGAGAGTGTTGTGAAGGGAGGTCATGAGAGTTATAAGGGAGGGCATGTTTTTAAATAGGGTTGGTTTGGGTGCGCTGAAACTTGGTGCACTAATTAATTTGGACGTAATTTGAGATATCCTACTTGTATATGTCTTTTTTTTTTAATTATTTTAGATTTTGGGTTTAAATGTAAAGATTTTGATTTTTCTTGAGGGTAAATTTGGATGGCAGGTACACTTTTTGGGGGAGGGTAAGGTTGGTTGTGAATAATTAGGAGAGAACAGGTGTGGAGGATGGATATTAGGTGCGGTGGATACTATATATTTGGATGGTGGCCAAACATATCTGCATCTTTTTGTATGTTTGGTTATAATTAGCAAGGCTCTAATTTTGTGATTATGTTATTTTTACTCGTGAAGGGGGTAATTAAGAGCTACTGTGAAGAAAAGTTTTAAGTTAATTAATTTGTACTTTCCCTTAATTAGGGATGTTTTGGCTTCTCTCACTTCTTACTCCACTGAATTCAACCACCATCACATCCCAATTGTATACTAAACTATAAACAAACATATGGTGGAAGAGATAATTAAACTTCCATTCTCAATTTGCAGTAGAGAGAATGAAAATGATATAGATTGATCACACAAAAGAAGAAATCTTAAAATTGTTAGTTTGTGAAGTAGTTGGAGATTGTTGTGATAAGGGTCCTTCAGAAAACTTAAAAAGGTGAGCTAACCCTCACGCTGAGGTAAACCAACCTTCACATTATGTATGTGTCAATTTCTTGTTCGAGTTTACTCATGTTTTATAATGTTGAGGGTTGGGGTGTCACTTTTTAATCAAGTTCATTTCTTGCTTAAGCCTCATAAGCTTTGTTGGATGTGGAAGATTAAAGCGTCCAAAACTCATATCAATACAGAAGTAGGTTTTAGAGTAAATGATTCGAGAAACAAAGTTGCTGGAATTATGTGACGTCATGTGCTTGGAGTTTTATGTTTGCTCTCCGTAGACAGATATATGACCAAATTAATTAAGTAAGGAAAAATTGCTTCTAGGCCCCAAATTTATATTTTCTATATGCTCTAGCCCCTCCAACTTTTTTTAATGTTCTTTAGCCCCTCCTTTTTGAAAAAAATATGGCCAAGCCCCTCCATCATGATTCCAGCTCATTTCAGCAATTGATTAGACATGCCAGCTCATGATTAGACATATCAGCTGATTTAAATCCCGAATTTACCCTCCTCTTTCTTATGTCAGTGGATGTTAACTCTTTTCTGTAAAATGTTAACTCTTTTCTGTAACATGTTAATTCTTTTCGGTAACATGTTAACTCTTTTCTGTAAAATGTTAACTCTTTTCTGTAAAATGTTAACTCTTTTCTGTAAAATGTTAACTTTTTTCTGTAACATGTTAACTCTTACAGATAACATGTTAATTCTTACAGTTAACATGTTAACTCTTACAGCTAACATGTTAACTCTAACAGCTAACATGTTAACTCTTACAGCTAACATGTTAACTCTAACAGCTAACATGTTAAGAAGGGGAGGGAGGCGGGGGAGGGGAAGGAGGTGTAGGGGGAGGGGAGGGAGGCGGGGCGGAGGCAGAGGGGGAACGGAGGAGGAGGAGGAGGGGTGTGTAGGGGAGGGTAAAATGGGGATTGTGTATAAAGTTTGCATAGGAACTTGGGGAGACGGGTTTTTAATAATTTTTCAAAAAGGTGGGGCTGCAGCACATGTTTGAAAGTTGGGGGACTAGAGCATATTGAAAATATAAATTTAGGGCCTTGAAGCAATTTTTCCATTAAGTAATGGGTTTCTAGAATTATGTAACTTGTGTTCTCTTTCGAAATCTATAAGGGAGGCAGTTTCCATAAAAGTATACTGTATACCTTTCAATAGTTTCCATAAAATTATACCTTTCAACTATTAATTGTGATTAAGCTAGCTTGGAGTTTTATGTTTGCTCCGTAGACAGATATATGACCAAATTAAGTAATGGGTTTCTAGAATTATGTAACTTGTGTTCCATTTCGAAATCTATAGGGGAGATAGTTTCCATAAAAGTATACCTTTCAACTATATATTAATTGTGATTAAGCTAACACAAACGAATATATACCACTCGTGCTTGCATCGACCCTGATGAGACCTTTGGTTGAATAACAAGTAACTATGGTGGACCAAAGGATTGATATGAACATTTACTACGGATGTTGAGCGATGATGATAATCAGTGATTTGAAAGAGCCAATTAATTGATAATTTTTGTGAACCTAAAAGAGCCATTTGTAAAATTTCTGACCATTTAAGCTGGTAGTTTGACACGTATTATGATATAGAGCAAATTAAGAAATTAAAAGGCTAAAGAAAGTGAAAAGCATTCATTAAGCCTTCTATGATTATATGTGTAAACACATCAATCCTGTTCAGCCTTCATTGCTACTAATTGTAAATACAAATATCAGTTGCATGCAATTGCTGTTATATGGTGTTGTAGTTGTTTGGTTTAATTTAAAAATTTTGTAATCTATAGATGATTTTAATGGCAGGATTGTGTTTAAGGGTGTGACGTTATTTTAGATTTCTGTTGGCATTAATTGGCTGAATTTGAATGCCTACCTAACACTTGTTTGGCTAAATGAAATTGAATTGAAAGGGCAAAAGTCAATTTCTTGGAGATGACGTGGCAATTTATTTAGTTATTTATTAAATCAATTTCCAAATCATTTTCAAAGTAGTTAGATTATTTGTTGCCATTGTTAACCTACTTATCCAAATTAAAAGTCTATTATTCTTATCCTTGACAAAAAGATTGAACTCCCAATAAGATTTTATTTATGTCAATTCATGTGTAAGTTAGTTTTGGGCATAGAGGATACATGAATCTATTGAAAAAAAAAATGCTAGAAATATTGACCACATGTGTAAACAAAAATTTATTCAACGATGCCTTTGTTGTCTTTGACTTGCCGAGATAAAGCGGAAGGAATAAAACTGACGGAGTAAAAAAAAAGTAAGAAACCATTATGTAATATATATATATAAATATATATATAAGAGCAAGACTCTATCAACTTAGTGGATCAGGAAATAGTGATCACCAAACTTTTTAGCCACTCATTCTATTAATATAAAAAGTCTCTTCATATGCATGCCAAGATCCCTAGGCAAGATCCAGGCGAAAAAAGTTTGGTGCGATCACTATTTCATATCCACTTAAGTTGATAGGAGTTTTCACCTAATTATATATATATAATATAATATATATATATATATATATATAATATACATATATATATATATATATAGAGTAGAACTTGTGTCAACTTAGGTGGATAGTGAATAGTTTGTCACCACAACTTTTGATATCCACTCACTTAACATATAAAAAGTCACTTCAATCATGCAAGGATCCCTAGGAAACATCTAAGGTGTTAAAAAGTTTAGTGGATGTCCACTTAGTGGACACAAGTTGTTGCTTCTCTATATATATATATATATATATATATATAGAGAGAGAGAGAGAGAGAGAGAAACTTATGTCAACTTAAGTGGATTATCCACCAAAGTTTCTATTCATTGATAAAAAACCTCTTCATATTGTTTGCGTCGAAATTTGATGTATTCATTACGGTATTCATTACAACTTCAGTCGTTACAATAAAAACAAAAAAGATAGTCTTTTTATAAGACCCTTACACAATAAAAACAAAAATTACAACTCTCGTCAAAACAAACACAAGGAGATCGTTTATCGGTCTTCTGCTTGTGTGGGATCTTTGTCTGTGCCGGGGATTTTGATATCCGTGGACCACCTTAGATCTGGATCCGGTTGATAAAAAATCGGGCAGAGCTTCGCCTTCACCGATGGAGTATTTGATTGAAGCGCTGAAATCGACCAAGCAAAATCAGTAGCTCTTCTCGAGATTAAGACAAAGCCTAATCTCAAGGAACGGACGTACGGGCCTCAGATCATTCGAATAACTCCTTTTTTATGCTGGAGTTTGCCTGGATCTCGCTAACCCTCGCTGAAATTCGTGACTCTTGGCTCTGGAGTTCGACAGCACCTCCTCCTCTTGATAATAAATCGCCCCCGGTGAAAGGAGGCCTTAGGTTTGTATTTATAGGGCTCCGATGCGGGTATGTGAATAAGAATGATGGATTCCTCCTTATCTTCAGTTAATAACTGATTAACCATGTTTAGGGATAGAATTTAGGCAATTAGGAACCTCTGGAACTGAGAAGATCTCGTGAAAACTCATCGAAACCGCCAAAACGCGTTTTGAAATGAAGAATGATTAGCATTGATCACACAAAAGAAGAAATCTTAAAATTCTAATCGTTAGTTTGTGAAAGTTAGTTGGAGATTGTGATTGTGAATAAGGGTCCTCAGCAACAACTTTAAAAAGGCTGAGCTAAAGCCCTGCTCACGCTGAGTAAACAACCTCACATTTATGTATGTGTCAATTTCTTGTTCGAGTTTACTCATGTTTTATAATGTTGCAGGGGTTGGGGTGTCACCCTTTTAAATCAAGTTACATTTCTTGCACTTAAGCCTCATAAAGCTTTGTTGGATGTGGAACAGATTAAAGCGGTCCAAAACTCATATCAATACAAGAAGTTACGGTTTAGAAGTAATTATGATTCGAGAAACAATAGTTGCTCGGAAATTATGTGACGTCACTGTGCTTGGAGTTTTATTGGTGTTGCTCTCCGGGTAGACAGATATATGAATCCAAATTAATTAAGTAAGGAAAATTGCTTCTAGGCCCCAAACTTGTATATTTTTTATATGCTCTAGCCCTCCAACTTTTTTAATGTTCTTTACCCCCGCTTTGACAAAAATATGGCCAAAGCGCCCCCCATCATGGATTCCAGCTGCAATTTCAGCATAATATGATTAACATGCCAGCTCATATTACGACATGATCAGGCTGATT